AGAAAAATCAAAAGGTAAAGAACAGAAAAAATAGGTCAATCTTTACAAATATCTGTTCTGTTTGTTTCCTTAAATCTTAAGAGTCCTCGATTTTTAATACATTTCTGATCGAGCCAAAGGAAAAGAAAAAGGGGGGGAAAATGGGAGATCAATTAGCGAGAGGAGAAGATTTCGAGAAAAAGGCAGAGAAGAAGCTAAACAGCTGGGGATTGTTTGGCTCCAAATATGAAGACGCCGCCGATCTCTTTGATAAAGCTGCCAATTGCTTCAAGCTCGCCAAATCATGTACGCAAAAGCTTAATTCTTCAATCTTTTTTTTTTTATTATTATCATTATTACTATTATTATTAGTTTCTGTTTGTTTCTTGAGAAAATGCTGGATTAGAATAAAAAAATGAAAGTTTGGAGATCTTCTGTAATTGGCGATTGAGAAACCGCAATCCAAATGTTTTTGTAAAAGTTTTCTGTTTGTCGAGAAAATGATGGACAGAAAAAAGTTGTCAAGAAATAAAATATTCGAGATCTCGTGATTAATGTTGCTATCGATAAATCAAGATTTTTTACGCGATCAAATTTTTATATATATATATATTTTCTTAATTTTTAATTTTTTTTGTTATTAATTATTATTTTTTATTCAATATTTTAGTTGTTTTAATTCAGTTAGAAAATGTGAAATTCAGAGGTTTTTTCATGATCAGATTATTGAGTAACTACTTTATAATTCACTAGATATTCGAAATGTGTGATGGAAATTGATTTCTTGAAAAGCTGTAATCTTTAATCTCTTTATTGTTTTTCCAGGGGACAAAGCTGGATCAACTTATGTAAAGTTGGCAAATTGTCACTTGAAAGTAAGTACTTCAGGAGTAATAGCTTTCGGTTCTTAATAACCTACTGTTATGTAAGATTTAATTGGACTCTTTTGTTGGTTATTATATCTGTAGGTAGAAAGCAAACATGAAGCTGCTCAAGCTTATGTTGATGCTGCTCATTGCTATAAGAAAACAGCTACAAAGGGTAAGTGTGGAGTGCATAGTTTCTCTTCATGAGAATCGTTTGGGGTAGTTTTGGTTTTCTTACCCCCTGCCTTTTGTGGGATAAATATACAATTTACCGTACGGCAAGAAAGTATTTATTTTCTACTCCCCCCTGCAGAAGTTGGTTGAAGCATTGAGCATATCCATTTACTTGTTCTTACCTTTGATTAGGATCTAACTTGAATAACTGTTTGTTTCTATACAGAGGCTATATCTTGCTTGCAGCAGGCAGTAAACATGTTTTGTGATATTGGAAGGCTCAGCATGGCTGCAAGATATTATAAGGTATTATTCATACATCAATATGCAAATCTTTAAAGAAAGGAAAAAGAGAGAGAGTTGATCATTTACTAAAATTGCTTATACAGCATCAATTTAAGCTATAGTTTTACTTTTTCATTTGATTGATTGGGTGATGTTTCTTATATTTCCTCAATCTTCATTTCCAATGTTGCCAGTAGTGTTAAATGTTAAGCCTTCTAGGTTGTCATTTTATTGTTACTACTGTTTCCTCATATCCACCACCCAACTGTAAGGTCTTTGTATGAAAATGATGCAGTTATTCAAATACATGGGTGCCTCTTTTATGTGCAGGAAATTGCTGAATTATATGAGTCTGAACAGAACATTGAGCAGGCTATTGATTATTATGAAAAGGCAGCTGATTTCTTCCAAAATGAAGAAGTATCTACTTCTGCCAACCAGTGCAAGCAGAAAGTTGCACAATTTGCCGCTCAGATAGAACAGTAAGCATGCTAACTTCTTGGAAACATTGTTCTTGCAATGTCTAAGTGCTGTCTACTACTATGGATGGATTGTAATCATTATTGGTGTATTATTTTGCTAACACCTTTGCACAACACTCAAACACCCCCCCCCCCCCCCCTCTCTCCAAGTATAAAATTTGGGAAAATTATTGATAGTTCTGCTTTTGATATTTTTCCAGATACCAGAAAGCCATTGAGATCTATGAAGAGATAGCACGTCAGTCGCTTACCAATAACTTGCTGAAGTATGGAGTTAAAGGACATCTTCTTAATGCTGGCATTTGTCAACTCTGTAAAGGTGATGTTGTTGCAATCAGCAATGCATTAGAGCGATATCAGGTTGAATTTTGGCTCCTTTCGTAGCACCCTAACTTTTTACCTTAGTTTGGTTATATTGAACTTTTGTCTGCATTTGCTTTCTACAGGAACTGGATCCAACTTTTTCTGGAACACGAGAGTGTAAATTATTAGCTGTAAGTAATCATAAGGAAGCATTTTATTTCATTTTTATGATTTATATTTCTATCATTAAAGGGTTAATAGGATTATGTTTAGCTTTTTTGGTTGTGTAAAGATGCTTGATCAGTGGTGGCACTTTCACCATTTCTTTTATTTTTCCCTTTTTTTGTCCTTCATGTGGATGATATATCCAGTTACTGTCTTATCAAAAACTTGCTAACTATATAATTCATTTACTTTAAATGGGAGTAATTTTGAGAATCTGGTTTGAACTCTTTGTAATACAGATGTTAATGAGCTTATGCTTTATGTGACAGGACATTGCTTCTGCCATTGATGAGGAAGATGTCACGAAGTTTACAGATGTTGTCAAGGAATTTGATAGCATGACCCCATTGGTATGTCAATCTCCATTACAAATGCTGGTTGGGCGGTCTAGAACCCATTGGATTCTGGTTCTGTCCCCAGAAATTACGATTCTAATGTGCTTGCTGCTGTTTCCACAAAATGCTGTGCAGGATTCTTGGAAGACAACCCTTCTACTTCGGGTGAAGGAAAAGCTGAAAGCTAAGGAACTGGAGGAAGATGATCTTACCTAAAAAGAAGCTTCATGTGGCAACTACTGTCTTGTGTTTCTGTTCTTTTAATGGTGACTATTGCTTTGTATTATGGGTCTGTCCTGTTATACTCGTATACTCCCTTACAACAATTGGTTTACAAGAGATGTTACTACTTTGTTTGGCGTTTAATTTGAGAAACTATGCTGGTGATTGGGTGAAGATGAGTTTGTAATTGGAATACACTGCTGTGTTTTGCTTTTATGGACACCTCCAGTAGTTATCATTCATTGTGAGTGGAGGATGAAGTTGAAATAAGAGAGCTGGGTGATCCCTGGATTTTGGAAACGCCTTCTCATTCCCTTGTAACACTCGATGAAAGAGTTCATTCCTTGATCAAAATTATCTCAAGGGGTTGCAGCTATCCACAGCTTTCTTTGTATATGTGCAATCCAGTGACACCCTCTGTTTAGAACGCAAGCCACTCTAAGACCAACCTTGAATTTGTTTCAAGCTGAGAGGTCAATGGTTAGTTTGGAGGTCAGCTATAAGGATATCGAATCGGGTATTTTTAATTATTTGATCCGATTAAGTAAATATCTTATGATATTTTATTATCATAAAGGGTATAAGATGTGGTTTGATATGCCAGGATCAAAGAGACAAAGGAAGGCATTGAAGATCATGCTTCTGGTTAAGGCAGAGAAGCTAAAAGGTTCCTGAAAAGAGGCAAGAAAATGTCATGGAAATGTATTTGAACAGGAAGAGTGGCAAGCTAAGAGCTAGGGAAAGTACAGAAGCAGAACTGCATTACCATCTAACATAGTTTGAAAGATTAAAGGCAATCATAGCTTACAGTATGATACAAATTCAATCTGCAAAATCGTGGATCTCCTTTCCGAATGTGCAGCTTTAATTTCAAGTTAAAGCCTATAAACTCTTTCACTCAAGGAGATGGTATAAGAGAAGAGGAAGGAACTTGGTTCATAGTACATGCCACCCAAATATACAGAAACAGTAACAAATGTAGGTTATGCAGGGTGTTCAAATAGAACTTAATAAAAGTAAACAACCAGAGACTTTTTATCACACAATTGGATCTAAGCATGAATTTCTATCCAGATTGAGATTAATGAAAATATCATGTTAAAATACAATATAAGAATTCAAGCTGCAATGGGAGGATACATAGCTCTCTCTCTCTCTCTCTCTCTCTCTCTGAGAAAGCACAAACAGCTAATCCCCTCATCATGATTGATGATATACAAACCTAATATATCTAAAATGGTTTTTTCTTTCGTCCACTTAGTGAGATGCGTTTTAGCTCCTGCGAGCCCCTTTTTATTCCCCTGCAACATAAATATCCCACATTGTAATGGTTTCGGAAAGCTCAATAAGATGATGGCAGTGAAAAAAGTGTTCAAAAGACATACCTTTGGTACAAGTAAACAAAAATGTAGAAAAGTGGCAGCAGCATCAAAGTTAAAATGGATATAGAAACATAAAGAATACTTGTACGCTTCTGCACATATGAAACAGGATGATATGCACTTAATCAATGACACATATAACCAGGATAGTCATATAAACTTTTCCTATAAAAGTATATACAAGAAGAACTGTACTTATGGTTAATTGTTCATTCCAGTAAGTGTGCATGAGCATGAATTAGGAATAAAAAGTTAGAACAATTTAGGATAACAGCGAATTCTACCTTGGACCCTTTAGAGAAAGGCTTTGGACCTCCGGTGCACATGTGGGCGTCACAGAATTGTCGCAAGAAGAATTCTATGGATTCAGCAACATCAGAAAGCAATACACAGGTTGGAAAATGTGCAAACATAGAAAACAAATAGCACTTGTTATGGGAAGATGAATACCATGAAGACGGCCTGATAGAGGACCATTGCTGACAGGAAAACAACTATCAGCAAGACTCTGCACAGAAGTTTCAAAATAATGACACAAAGAACATCAGAATATATAATTTGCCTGACAAATCATTCAAAGGGCACCTCACACAGATGTTTATTCCTTTCAGCAGCTGCAGGATTGCATTTAGTCTTGCGGGGTGCGGAATCCGTGACAAGGTCACAATGCAATGCACCGCACAGGTCAGCCAGACACCTGCTCTGACTCTGGATTCAGCAAAAGCATGCCATAATTCAAATAGTCAGTTTGATTAAACTATGAATTATGCTCTGGGTGCTAATCTATCCAATTATAGCCCACATACCACATTCAGCAAATCGAAATGTCTGTTGTCAAAATGCTTATCCAGATACTTCTCTTCATAGAAATTCTTATTACAGTAGCCACATCGCCATTCATTTATATCTACATGGAGCTTGTGCTGTTCCTGATCTCTGTACAAATCATTGTCAGCGTGAAGCCTACATCCACTTGCAATTTTGTATCGCTCTTTCTCCACAAAGGGCATCAGATACTGCAAACAAACACTAAAGATTACTAGTTTCAGTGACCTATGCCAAGCAAAATATTCAGATGATAGTATCTTATAACTCTGACACACCACCCATTCAATACCTCCTCAATTATTTTCCATGCTGCCCTGCTCCTTTCTCTTGAACAATGTACAACATGAGCATTCCCCTGCTTTTGCTTAAAGGTTCTAAAAATCAATTTCACAATTTCACAAGCGTATGCACATCAGTTATGCATATAAAGGAAAAGAGAGAAGAAACATTATAACAATATCTCTTAAAAATCACTGAACAGCGCTAAGTTTAACGGCAGTAAATCCAACCATGTAATATAGAGCATGAAGAAATGCCACATTCTTCAGTTCATCTTAGTGGTTAAGTCTGTCATGATTGAAGAAACAAAAGGAACAAAGAGACAAGTAACCAAGATCAAAGCACATAACATTACCTTGCAGCTGCAGATTCTTTGTGACCCTGGGCAAACAACAAACTCAAAGAGTTCAAATTGAGTGAGAAATGATGGCAAGAATAACAAACAAATGAAAGCATAGCAATAGAAAAGCGCCATAAAATGGTTAGGCAACAAGAAATCAAATGATAAAGAGTATCAATGCAGTCCAAAACTCAAAACTTTTTAGTAAAACTAATATTAAAGACACAAATTTGAGATTTTCCAAATCAAGAAATCCCCCAAAAATTAACCCTTTAGTTGAATTCACTAACCAGTCAGTTAAACATACAATTTCCGTCATTTACATCAACTTAATCATCATTTTCGATCCGGGTTTTCTTTGAAAGCAACAAATTTGATTAACAAAAGAAGAAACGTTACAAGGAAAAGCTATGATACCTGGTTTTCTTGAAGAGGGGAAGCAGAGGAAGAAATTGATGGGATTTGAAGACAGATTGATAAGCAAAGAAACAAGAAAACGACCCGTTTTGACCACTTTCCCATTTTTCAAATTTCAGTTTGGAATCTCTGCATTGGATGAAGATTCCTTATTTTGCTTTCGAAATCTGGCAAAACTAGAAGGAAAACCCAAAAATAAAAAAACCAAAAAGGCCGCTTCTTCGGTGTGGAAGACCGAGTTTGCTCGTGGAAGTAGCAAATCCGCCACATTTACCCGCCACCGCTACCCAATTGGAAGGTGCCACGCTAAGGCCACCATGTCCTTCCTTTCTGGCACAAAAAATTACCGTTCTTAATTTTTTCACTAGATATGTACCTAAATTAATAAATCATTGAGACAATGAAATAAATGCTATAGTCAAACGTTGGTACTATAACTCAAGATTAAGTTCAATTTTCGTTTTTTTTTTCAATTTTTTGATAAAACTAATTAAGAATAAAAAGAAAGAAGAGATTTCAAATTTGGGTTTGGATTTTGATTTTCAAATTTGGGTCTTAACTTTAAATTAATGTCAATTTTGTTTTTCAAGTTCTCTTACTAAAAGAAAAGAAAAACGAGAGTGAAATCTGACAAATATAGTAAAAGAGGGAGAGAAGACAACTTCTTGATCAGTGAAACTGCCACTAGTTACTTCCTACTTGGTACTTTGTCGTGTGACATTGATTTCTTTCATGAACGACAACAACTTCCTGTCGTTTTATGTTGATTTTCAACTTTCCCATGAGTGAGGCGGCTACCACTTGTGTTAAGACAGAGAGAAAGATGTTAAATCCAGATTTATCATTTCTTTTCAATAGATTAAACATCAAAGAATCTTTCCATTTTTTAAATTAAATAATGTAAGGCCACAAAACTATCTAAATTTTTAATAGCATTTCTTTGCCACCATCTCCTGTTCATAGAGCTACTATAAAATGTAGAAGCTTTCAACATTTTGACTTCATGCAATCTGTTCACTCTCTTCAAATTCAGATCTCTTAGAAACTACCCATTTTCCATCGGGCCTTGAAATTCAACTTCCGATGGCCAAATTCTTAGCTTTCATGATGCTGCTGAGTTTCTGGGGTAGCTTCATTTCGGGTCAAAACCCGGGTCTTGAGGCTCGATATAGGATCCACACTCTGTTCTCTGTGGAATGCCAGAACTACTTTGATTGGCAAACGGTTGGATTCATGCACAGCTTCAAGAAGGCCCAGCAACCCGGGCCAGTGACCCGATTATTGAGCTGTACGGAAGAGGAGAAGAAGAAATATAGAGGGATGGATTTGGCTCCTACTCTCGAAGTTCCCTCTATGAGTAGACATCCAAAAACTGGTGACTGGTAAAGTTTCTGCCTTGTTTTTATCTGTTCTTTTTTAACTCTTTCTTGGATTTGAAGTTCTTCTCTCTTTGGTTAATTTGGGATTTTGATTACCCGCTTGTTTTTTATGTAAATTGTTGATGATGGAGTTTTTTGTCTAATATCAATGTATTTGATCTAAAACTATCATAATTCAAATGAGGTATACTTCCTTGAACTTTTAACTCTCGTTTTTGGTTAAAGTTCTGTTCTTGGATTTATCAAGTTTGTCAATTGTTTTGTAATTGTTGTTATCAACTCAAATAAATTAGTCAGAAAGGTTTATTTTATTTGGGTTTGGCCCAATGAATGTACTTCTCTTGCTTTCAACATTTTGATGCACCAAGATTAGAGGTTTCTCTTTGTTCTCAATGGTTGGAAGTTTAGTTGTTATTCTTTAGTTAATTTTTGCTTTTCTTTTCTTATTTCAAATTAAAACAAGTTATTGCCTTATGATAGAATGTTCGTTAATTTCGTTTTCCCATGTTTAAAGGTTCAAGAATGATGAGCATCTTCCATTTTCTTGCTTACTGCCCATTCCTTCTGGCACATAGCCTTCTGACGTTTCCTTTCTGATTAAATTTTCTCTTTGTACAGTAATAGAGTGCATTATAGCTTCCATCGTGTTTTTGTTTTTCACATGATTGGTTT